GAGTATGAAGTTGATGAGGGCTGAGTTATGTCAATCAGATTTGGGCCTACCCTAAATATCACTGTTAGAATGAGTGGAATCAAACAAAAATGTCATGAACTATCTTGAAACGTGGAGTCAGCTCCATCACCAGAGGTGTCCAGGCAAAGCAGGGCATTATGGGGAAGGGTTTGAACCTGGGCTCTTCTCCAGCTCTGCAGTGCTGGGACTTGAGCCATGAGTGGAATAGAACTTCAGGGTCAAAATATACACAAGTTCAAATCCCACTTCTACCATTGACAGTTTGGGTGACTCTGAGTAAGTTACATATGTGTTCAGATGCAGATTCCTCACCTCTACAGATAGATAACATATACAAGATGTCTGCATGCTATAGGTGCCTACTAAACATTAGCCTCTCTGCTTCCCTCTGAATCAATGTAAACATCTCTCTGGACCTTGGCACTCTCCAGATAGCCTTTCTGTCCTTCCCCAACAGGTTCTCAGGCCTACCCTTCTCTGTCTATCGGAGGACTAGTGCAGGTACCACCTCCTCCAGGAAGCCACTCCTGGCTGCTCTGATGGACACTGGGCTCCTCCTCACTTGCAAGTTGTAGAGCACACCAGGTACACTTTTGGTACCTTATGGTCAGTGAGTTGAGGCAGGAGATCATGCTGTGTATGAGTGTGAGGGTGTCTTAAAATAATGACAGCAAATATTCACACTGAATTTGCATGTACCAGGCACCTTACAGGCAATTAACTCATTTAGTCTGTACAACAAAGTTAAGAAGGAGGCACTGTTCTCATCTCTATTTTACAGATGGGAGAACTGATGCCCAGAGAAGTTAAGTGACCTACCCAAGGTCATGTGGCAAAGCCAGATTTGTATCCAATCAGTGTGATCCCAGAGTCTGTACACCTAACCTTGACCTGCATCACTCAGCCTCTCAATGCAGAGGTGGGCCCTTTCACAAGTACTACAGAGGGTCAGGAGCCCTTAAGTCAACACTAATGATGCTTCATGACCCTGGAGGCCAGGCTGCATGCAGATACACACACACACACACACACACACACACACAGAGGCATTAGTTAACACATGCAGACTTATGCACACAAAGGAAAGAAGAGACATTGAGCTATCACTACCAGTCCCAGGGCCTGAAAGTCTCTCATCCCTTCTCTCCCCAAGGCACTACAGGCAAGGAGGAAGTGGGAAACATCAGGCATTGCCCACCTCTGCTGTCAAGTCTGTCCTAGGTGTAAAAATCAAATCCTGGTCTGCCCATGTGGTAAGACCCCTTTGCCTAGGTGGTAACCTGGAGGCTCAGAGAGGAATGAACATTCTCTTTAGGTCACATAGCAAGTCAAGGCAAAACTTGGTCAACACCCAGGCCTAGGAAGTTCTCAAGAAATGCTTTGTCACCACATCCCAGGGTCCCCTCCACAACCCCCAATTCCAGACATCTCTATTCCTACTTGCTTTGAGCAGGACATAAAGAAATAGAGATAAAGAGAAAACAAGAAAAAGATGGAAACAAAGGCAAGTAGGAGAGGGACCCAGGAGCTGAGAGGAGAGAATCAACAGGAAATGTCTGAGCAGAGAGCAGTAGGGCCCTGGCTCAGCTACCAGCTCACCAGGCCCCTCACTCACCCCTGTGCCAGAGGAATGCAGAGAGGCAGGGGTTAACTCTCTTCTGTGGAGCAGAAAATTAGGCTCCAGTTATTAGTTGATTTATTGCCCTGTCCTCAATCTGTGCTCAGGTCCTGGAAGGAAATGTTCCACTCGAAAGCATTAAGTGTCTTCAAAGAGCATGAGCATTAAAAATTGAAATCATAAAATAGACACGTAAATATAGTGGAGGTGAGGGGGGCAGCCCCCTGGGCAGGCTGAGGTGGGAGTGGCAGGCCCAGGTCCCAGCTGGCCTACACAGGAGCCAACTGTGTCTACTGTGGTGTGGGGGTGTTCCTGCCCAGAAGTGGCACCCAGCATCACTCACAGTGCCTGAAACCCCTCCATTAGCACTCCATGTCTTAGCAGTTGGAATTGCCTTATCTTTGAAAACTCTATTCCCTCTTGGCAGAGGGTCCTAAGCTCAACCCAAGAACCTGTCACATAATGGGGGAGAGGGCTGGGAGGAGAGGCAGATGGGGATTTAGCTGACTTCTACCTTAGCAGCTGTGTTGATGGGAAGAGGAGGGGGCAGGCCTGGGATTGGGTCAGGGCAGCTCCTTCTGGGCAGGTCCAGGCTGCTGCTTTACACAGGAAGCAGTCCCAGTAAACCAGCCCGCGGCCAAGGCCTTCCTCAGCAATGCTCAGACCCCAGTGCACGTCTGGGATTTGGTCCCACCATGTGAGAAAGGGCTCACCGCCAGTTGGGCCTCAGAGGGGAGTGGACAAGGAAGTCCCTGCCCTGTCCTTGGCACATCTAGGCAGTGGAGTCACAGAGCAGGTTATCCAACTCATGCTCTCTCCATACAAGGGCCTAGTGTGCTGGGAGAAGGGTCTGAGGCCTGCCTGTTACAGGACACTCACTGGCACCTAGAAAGACAGTGCCATCCCTCCCAAGGGGGCTGGCTCCCAGCACAGACCAGAGTTCATATCTCTGATTTGTCACCACCTGCCTAGAGAGCCGCCCTGTTCCAAACTCTAAGGAGGGGCCTTGTCAGGTCCCTCAGTGGCACACACAGACCTACATGGGAATACACACATACGAACATGCAAGGTAGTACTGGGGTGCAGCATCCCAGGTGCACATGTTAAAAGCCACATGTATGCACACCCATGCCCATGGATGTGTATACATACACAGGAGCATTCCACACATGTATGTATACATGTGCAACCACATGCCTGCATGTACCCATTTGTGTGTGCACAGGCATGTATCAACACTTATACATTTGTACAGGCACACCCCACATGCACACACATGTGCACACATGTATATGTACACCTAATGACACACATATGTATCCATTCCTACACATGTACATGTGTGAGTGTCCAGACCCATGTGCACAGGCAAGCCTCTGGACTCCAACATCAGGCCCCAAAGATGTATGTGGTCCAGAAGTTAGTGTGCCGGGTTCTCATGAGAGATCCAGGGGTCTAGAGAGCCAAGAGCATCTCTTTCTCTGGCCCTGGGGACCCTGCAGCCTTAGTTTCCTTGGCCTTGGCCACGGCCACCCTCATAACTCCCTGGGGTCATGGGGTCTGTCCCTTCCCCGACCATGGCTCCAGGCTGTATGACCTTGGACAAGCCTCTGTCCCTCTTGGTCCACATGCTCTGTAAACTACTGGGGCCTCTCTGACTGCAACAGCTTCTTCTTCAACCAGGCAGCACATTAAAAAAAGAACCCTTCAACTTATTTCCCCATTTTGAGCAGTAAGAGAGGCTAGAACTGGGCTGGGATTGGAGGGCAGCAGGAAGACAGACAAGGTTTCAGCTGTGTTTGGCTGGGGGGCCTGGGTTGGCATGAGCAGAATTGGAGCCAAAGCCATTAGTAAATCAGGAGTATGGCCAGAGGGGAGCAGTGACAATGACCTGGGGAGGGATACACAGCAGACTGATGGGGTCTCAAGGAGGAGAGGGTGGCACTCAGCTCTCCCTGCTAGGCCCTCACTGCTGTGGCACTTCCTGTAACCCTGTCCTCACAGCCTCCTTGAGAGAGTCAACCCCTAGCTTCGAGCCCCTTGGGCTGTGACCATGACTGGGCTGAGCAGCTCCTAGGACTGAGGTGGTGGGTATGAATGGAGTGAGGAAGCCAACAAAGTCTCCCTCCAGCACCTGGGACACTTGTAGTTGAGGCCTCGGGGACCTCATCTACACTCAATCCTCTTAGAAGGGCATGGCGGTCAGCTGAGATGTTCTCCCTTCTGAGGGGACCTAAACACCCTTCTCTGTAGAGACCATCCCTCCAACCCTCATAGGCCTTAGCTGACCACAGACTCACAGGGTCCCAGAAACCCATCAGGACTTTCTGAGATCGGGGCTTGACACCTCCAGGTCAGGCTATAATGGAGATGGGGAGGGGAGAAGGCTCCGTGAGAGTGGCTGCTGTTCTGCCCACCCAGGGCTCCTGGCATGCAGAGAGTCCCGGGCTTCTGACTTTTCCAAATACATCAGAAAGCCTGGTTTTGATGGGAAACATCCAATATTTCCAAAATCTGTGGGCTGAGATTTTTACCACATCTGTGGCTAGAATATACACATTCTCACACACATACATGATCTACACACTCAGGCTTACACACAAACACACTCATATTCACACACACTTGCATGCATAAATGCACAAATACACTCATATCACACTTACATAAACACACTCAAAAACACACATCATAAACACAGTCACATATACACTCTTACACATACATGTACTCACACACACTTGCCCACATGCTTACTCTCACCCATTCACACACACACAAGCACATCCATGGAGTAGATTGTGCTTCTGAGCCACTGTTTAGGATCTCTGACCCAGGCAGAGATGAGGAATTGAGGGTGAGACCATAAGGCTGTGTTGGTAACAAAGGACATCAGGGGTGGAGGAGCCAGGCCCAAACTCAGATTCCTGCCATCAAGGCCCCACTCACTCCTCCCAGCTCAGCTTCCCTGGGAGTGAGAAACAGGAATCACCCCTTCCTGCCTGCCTTTCCCCACCCCAGTCTCTCCCTCACTCTCTCTTTCATCTGAGCATATCAACAACCACCTGCACCCCTGCTTTACCCCTCACTACCCCCCCTTCCCCCTGTCCCCACTCAGCCCGAAGGCCAGGGTGGGGGAGTGCCCCAGCTTGTCTGAAACCACTCTGGCCCAGGAACTCTTTCTCCCACATGTAACTTTCCTAACTGGGAGCTCATTAATTATCTTCATATTTTCCAGAGGAAGTAAACAACAATTAGAGAGAGAAGTGGTATTTTTATTCTCCAGAAGACTCAGCAGCATAGCACCCCATTCCATCTCCACCCCTGATAGCCTGTCCAGCCGCCCGCCAGGTCCACTCACCTGCCCCTCTCCCTGCCATATGTGAGCAACCTGCCTGCCACCAGGCCATCCAACAGCAGGTCGCCTCTTGAAATCTGCGTGAAAATCAATAAATTGCTGAGAAAGGGCCTCCTTACTCATGCAACAGAAGGTTATAGTATTTACAGAGAGCAGTGAAACTGTTTTTATTAATCAGAACTGCTATAAAGAAAGCATTTTAATTAACATAATTATCCCAATTGACAAAAGCAGTCCTTACCCTATAGATACTTTTCAGACTAAAGATGCCAGCTGTCACCATCGGTCACAATTAAGTAATGCAAGCCTTTTCCCCTCTCCTCTCAGGGCACGGCTCTTCCTGAGTTAGATCTCAGAGTGTGACAAGATGTCATACCCTCAGTGCTTGTGCTCCCACACCCCAGATGCCTCTTGAGTTGCATTTCAGAGAAGGAGAACCCATGCCTGGCTTCACTGCCTCCTAGAGGAGGAAGGGCACCCACTTCATCCCCTTAGCCCTCCACCTCCCACAAAATAGTGAATCCCAGAGGGCTATCCCTCCTGGACACCTGCAGGGACTTTCCGGGGTTAGTTAGGGGGTGGAAATGGGGGCATACAGCTAGTCAGTTGGCACTTAGATCAGCACCCTGGTTCTGGCCACCAGTCCCTCCCACCTGGCTGCTCACATTCACCCCTAACTACCACCCCCACTCCACTGCTCACTTAACTTCAGACCATCTTCCCACATAACAGCCAAGAATCTGTCCATACCACAAATCTAAGTGTAAGACCCTCCCTATCCCAGCTTAGAGCCCTCATGAGCCACATGGAGGCCTGGCCCTGCCCACTTCACCTCCCACTACACCTCCCTAAGTGTGCTCCACTCCCGCCATATTGGCTTTTCCTCATTTCCTGAGCTCTACCACAGAGCTCATGCCATTTTGTACATGCCATTCCCTCTGCCTGCTGTCCCGTCCCTCCAGCTACCACCTCCCACCTTCCCAACTCATCTGTTTATCCTGCAGCACTCAGTTCAGGTGTCACCTCCTCAGGGAAGGCCCCCCAACCTCCCTGACCTGGCTAACCCTCTCTCAGACCCTCTCAGGGGATGGAGAGCCACCAGAGCAGTATGTACACTGCAGCCTTACGACTTGGATGGCTTTTCTATTGAGCTTCGGTCTCCTCTAATCAACTGTAAGCTCCATGAAGCGGCTAGAGACTTCAGTTTTGTTGGTTTGTTTGATCATTTTACTGTACTTTTTGTTTGTTCACCGCTGTATCCCCAGTGCCCTGGGATCAGTGTTTGGCTGGAGGTAAGCACTTAAGAAACATCTGTGGAAGGAAAGAAGGAAGAGAGGGAGGAGGGAGCCCCAGCTCTGTACTCTCTAGGAGACTGCCATAGCCCGAGTGTACTGGGGGCCTTCCAAGAAGGAAGTGAGAGAACATCCAAGAAGCTGAAATACTCCATTCCCCTAGTCCCACCTGGGCATCATGATTCACCCCACCAAGGCCCAATGAGAGGCAAAGGTGCACAGACTCTGGGTTTGCCCAGGTCCTGACTAGGTCTGCTTCCAGGATGAGGCAGGAGGACAGAAATATAGGAGTCCCTCCTATGGGTACAATGTTCCTTTGGGCTGCTGGAGACAGATATCAGGATGTGTGACCTTGGACCTTTCATTCCTCTTTCTGGGCCGCAGCTTCTCCATCTTTGAAATGGGCGGCCTGGAACAGGTAACTACATGCCCCACTCCACCCCACCCTATCTAACACCTCCCAAAGCTTCAGACATCCCTCCTTCTCCTCCCCCTACAAGGCTTGAAATGTTGACCTGCTCACCAAGTACCTGCTGTCCTCAAGACCACCCAGGGAGGGTGAAGCTGGGCACTCACTGTCCCCCTCATCAGAGCTTTTAGGATGACATATATGTGTAGGTGACACCATGGATGTATTTCACCCTGACATGCTGCAGTTTCCTCCCTGAAAAGGTGCTTATTTTTTAGTACATCTTAAATATTGGAGCTGCAAAGTGTGCTGTCAGCGCTTTTTAAATGGCTTGTTAATGTCCCGTAAAGCTCAGTGCTGGCCAGAGGAGACAGCTCACTCCTGGGCCCAATACAGCCTGTGCTCCAAGCACACACTTGTGCCGAGCCTCAGGACCCCAGACACTTCCCAATTAAAGATGCCAAAAGCCCTGCTGGGGCCACAAGACTTGGCAACTCTCAGAGAATGGCAAAGGAAAGAGAAAAGTGGTGCAAGTTCAAATCCCTTCTTGGCCACTTACTAGCTGGGTGACCTCAGGCCAATGACTAAGCTTTCTGCACCTCCAGTTTCCTCATCTATAAAATGGCAATGCTAAGTCCCACCTGAGGTCTATTTTGAAGAGTGAATCAGGTAATAAATACCAAGTGTCAGGTAACATTTGACTTTTAAGGTGTGGTAATGGCATTATGGCTATATTATTTTAAAGGGTTCTTACCTTTTAGAGAAACATGTATGGATAAAAGTATACAATGTCAAAATAACCCATTGGTGTGGGGTATGGGTGGGTATGGAGGAAACAAGTCTGGTCATGAGCTGATGTTCATTGATAGAAATGTAGGCTTCAATAAACTAGTCTCCCCACTTTGATGTAGGTTGACATTTTCACACTGGCACTCACTGAGTGTTCCCTAAACCCAGAGGTGCACACTCCCAGTTTCAGAAGGCTTGGACCTCACAGACCCCCTTGCAGGGCCAGGTTCAGAGACAGGAGGCAGCAAGATCCCATGAAGCACCAGGAAGGAGCATTCGGTGTATGTTGGGTTGGGGGTGGGGGGTGCTGAGCCTTCATGGAGGCCCCCACAGTCCACAGACGGGGAGACAGGCAGATGAGGGGCCCTTATAACCCAGAGACTTAGGAGTCCTGAGAATTCAGGTAGCCTCTGTTCCGGGTCCACCATCCCAGCTGTGTAACGCAGACCATGGCTTTCCCTCTCTGCTCTCCAGGATCCCGACATTAAAGTGGCAGTAGCAACAGCTCATCCCACTCCAACTGCCCGTAAATGTGCGCCTGGCCTAAGGCAGGTGCTCTCACTCGCCCTTAGACTGGTCCTGCCTTCCTCGGCAGAGCTGTCACCTCCTAAAGGTGTGGTAGGCAGGCTGCCCTCATACTGGGCACCAGGATGCAGATCTGCCCTCAGGAAGCTCCCAGGGGAAAAGTCGTTTTTAAACAACACTGTACCGTGCAAAGTCTCAGGAAATGGGGCTTAGAGGACACTCTCCTCAGGAAAAGAAGGACTCACTGCCAGGACAAAGATGAAGATAATATTAATAACAACGACAGTGACAGGGGCTGACTTACTGAGTGCTTTTGAAGTGCCTGGCCTCACGTCACAGTCTTTACCTGCACCTCTCCTTCCACCCTCACCACCTACCAGGTAATGGTTTCATTTATTCCCCATGTAGTTGAGAAAACGGAGGCTCAGAAGGTAAATATTGCAGCAAGTGAGTGCTGAGGCAAGTCCTAAAGCCACCTGAGTCCAAGGCCCAGTGGGGTGGGGAGGCTCTGGGCATCCAGAAGGGCCATGGCAGAAGTCTGGGAGCCTATGGGCCCACTGAGACAAGCCCTCTCCAGGCCTCGGTTTCTTCACCTGTGAAATGGGGGCAGAAAGACCCCAGCCCCATGAAAAGGGCACCAGGGAAAAGTGGCATGAGTGCAGGAGAAGGCAGTACCCTGAACGTTCCAAAAGGAGTGGAGGCAGCTGTGTGAGGTAAGTCGAGGTGTAAGGGCGGCAGGCAAGAACACGAGAGAGAGCTCAAGCTGAGGCTCAGGTGCTGGGATATTTTCCCAGGGCTGTATTTTTAGATGAACTACTTTTTCTCCCCTCCACCACCCCAGTAGGAGAAAGAACACAGAAATATCTGGGTGTGCTGTCTGAGCGGCTATATATAGTGGGCACAAACCACGCAAACCAGTCACCTGGGTTCCTCCCTCTCCCTGCCACTGGACCCCGAGCTGAGAGGCAGGGGCCCTTCCTCTTGCCCAATTGCCACAGTGTCTGCTCAGCTCCAGCAGCTTCCTCTAGGCATCCCCTCACTCCAGCACACACATGTGTGTACACATGCACAGCCAGAGACGTTGCCAATGACTACCTGCCCTGACCCAAGTCTCAGGGGTGTTTGAACAGTCCCAGAGCAACTGACAAGCCCTGCCCAGAGAGGTATTAATAACAGCATGAATGACTCCCCAGAGAGGGACTCATATCCATCATCTTGTTCAACCCTCAAAATTCCCCACAAGAAGGAAATAATGGTTATTTTACAGATGGAGAAACTGAGGACAAGAGAAGAAACAAGGCCTTCCTGGGTCACACAGAAAGCTTGTGGCAGAGCTTGTTAACTCCCTGGCTTCACAGCAGACCCATCAGAGGTGGAGCCTGCATCCGCCAGGTCTGGAAAAGATAGGACATCTCAGATGCCTGTATTGAGCAAGCAGCTCAAAAAATCCCTGAACACGTGCCAATGGGTTCAAGAGAGAGAGGTATTTGAGCTGGTTCCAGCTCAGCACTGCTGGGGGCGAGGGGTGGCAGCAACTGCCCAGTCCTCACTCCTATACCCATCCCTGGCATTGAGCTTTTGTGCCCAAGTGCAAACCTTCATTTTTTCAGCTCTAAAATTCCAAGTGGTTTGGTGGGTTTCAGCCAAGAAATCCCATCGGCCTCTTGCTGGCAAATGTGGACACTGCACCATCACCTCAGGCACCAGAAAAAAAATCGGGTAGGAAGAGGCCAGAGGCTTAGGGTGCCTCACTGGTGACCTTCCTCCCACAGATCAATGACTAGTCTTGACTCTGGGCTGTTGGTCCTGCTCAGTAGACTGACACTGGACACCCATACCTACTCCATCACAGAGCTTCTGACCCCACCCAGAGGCCCTGGAGATGAGTGGAGCAGAAGCCCGCATTCCTGAGTGATTTATAAGACCCCAGTGGGGATGGAGGCCCTGCCCTGAGGGCAACCCAGCCCTACTTGACCTGCAGGCAGCAGCGCCCAAAGGGAGGAAAAAGAACTCGGCACCAGTACAACAGCCATGCCCAAGAGGAGAGGACATGGGTCCTGCT